TGGACTTAACCACAGGGCTTCGCATTCAATTACTGGCTCCTTATTGGGTTACAGAGGCTAAAATCTTTTAGTTTTTGTCTCCAGCCGGACTTGAACCGTTGACCTTGACTGTGGGGGCATGGGAGCTTAACCACTAAGTTATGGGACCCACACCCATATTTATATATCATATAACAATAACCAAAATATTTTTTTATATATAATATTCTTTCTTATATATTGTAAATTTCTTTTTAAAATATTTGAATATAATTATTTATACTATGTACCTGGTATATGTATAAATACATATTTTATTTAACTAAGATGCCTTAGTTGTACTTTTCAAGTAAAATATTAACCAAAATAGTCTATTTGTAAATTACCTTAAGTACTTAAGTCAGTGCTGTATAGTATAATAAATCATAACAAATTTTAAATTTATTAACAAAATTTCAAAATTTATTAATAAAATTTAAAATTATATTAATAAATTTAAAATTATATTAAGTCTTGCTGCATTTTTATTGGCTGAATATGTTACACAACAGCTAAAAAATTGGCGCCTATATAAAAAATATATTGACTTTAGATAAAATCCACTGTATAATATAAAAAATAGAAAATATAATATTATATTGAATGTTTTAGAAACTTACTTTTCTAAAGTAACATAAATATAGGTGGAAATCTTTATACTTAGAATCTTCTAAATTTAATAGTTTCTACTATATTATTATAAAAATAAAAACAATTTTAGCATTTATTGCCGGTGGCGATACCACCACCTCTTATTTCTTTTATCAAATTTAGTGATAGCAATTTTAGATCACGGTTAGGGTTAGGTATAAAGGTCCAAATCTTTGTTATGGTTAGTTTTTTGGGGTCCTGAACATTTTTACTTAGTACCTTCGACATGTATTAGCTAGTAGATTTTTGAGATATAGTATCCTCGGCGATATCACCAATGGCGATAAATATCTATATTCTAATAAAAAAAGAACTTTATTATTTGAACTTTTTATTAATGAAATATTATTCAAAAAAACAAAATAAAAAAATAAAATAAATTTACAAAAAAAAAATGCAAAAGATTTTTAAATTTTAAAAATAAAGTGAAAATTATTTAATATTAAATAAATTTATAGCCTTATTGATAAAATTTATCAAAATTAATGTACTCATGAAAAACCAGACGTATAAATAAATCTGGTTTAAAAGCTTAATGTAGTAATATAAAACTAAGAAATTTATTTTACGGACTTAAAAGGTATAAATTATTAAGGCGGACAAGAATATAAAAATATTAAAGCGGTTGAGTCAACTATTTAATTCACCGGGAAAGGTTTTTTTTTTATTTGAGAAACGTAACAATAGAATCAATGAAGAACATTTATGTACTTATTATACGTATATTGTATACTGGATTATTTATTTTTAAAGCATCAGAAAAATAGATTTGAGGTAAACGACAATTTATTTATATAGATTACATAATCTATACATTATTAAAGTCAATTGAAATGAAGAACCTAAATTAAGCTTTGAATATTTGATTTGATGTTTTACAAAAATTTATCTGCATAGTTGTTATTTGATAATCGAATTCTACAAAAAAAACAATGAAACAATCCGTTATTATCACAAGATTGACAATAATAAGAAAAAACAAAGACTTCTATTTTATAAATTAACTATTCTTCATACATTTATCCATTTTTATTGATTCACATGTACATCTTGAAAGAATAGGTCGCTATCCGGCGAAATCTATTTCTACAATCTGCTATCATCCAAAACAAAAAAACTTTAATAATCAAAATAAATGGATCATTTCCAAAATTATGATTAGAATAGCTGTACATTGTCAATTCCCTGCATACTTTGCATACTTTAGTATTTTTAGGGCTAAGCATGGCAGCCTGGAGTGGCCGAGCACGTCCATTGAAAACTTTATATTTAATCAAATTTGTTTAAATTCTGCGAGAATTGGAAAGTTGTTCCGCCCCCAGAAAGAATGATAGCTTTTCAAGGAGATAATCCTAGCGATAACGAACGAACGCACTGTATATGTGCAGGAAATCGAGAGATGATCGGCAAATTGACAATTTAGCTTTGAAGCTGATGACCGCATTGTTTGAAAGATATGACCAAACCCATGCAAAAACAGGGATACAAGGCCTATAGTTTATATGTACAATTCAATTTTTTGATAATGTTTGCGCCGTTTCATATGTTACACGAGCAAATCTGGAAAGTGAATCCACTCAAAAGAACTCAAATATTAGCATTTAGTTTAAATTTACGTATTCATCTAAAAACGAGGCTAATTATTGAGAAGGATAGGAAATAGTTTTTTTTTCTTTTTTTAGCGTTGGGGTGATAGATTCACCGACATCCAACGTGTCTCTGTCTACCGTAAACCCCACCACCCAACGCAAGAACACTTACTTTAAGCAATTCTTTAAATAACCCAATCTTTTTTTTGAACTTGGAAATTCAATAAAAATGGACTACCATAGTCCGGAAGGTTCAACTTCACAGCTGGCTGGCAAGATACCAAATCCGACTGATCTATCTCGTCGGCTTGAATCTACCCAACAAGAACAGCAAGCAAAGGAAAATTGGAGTGACGATGAAAATTTAACTGCCACTCCGTCACGATCCCCCAATAACAGTATTCCTCGAGTTGACCTTCAAGCTGGTACTCAATTGTGGGATACCTTTTCTCCATCACCTAACAATAGGTCACCTGTAAACCTCCATTGCTGTTGTGGTAATGACGATTGTTCGAACCTTGCAGCCTTTTTAAGAAGTTTAAAATCTATGGAAGACCAACTAAGATTGGCTGCTGGTGAGTGAAATCGATATTGATTTAACTTCTAAGTTCTTATGATTGATATATATGTTTGATCGGATGATGCTAAAAATGGATAATATGGTGTAAACGCATATCGTTAAAATTTAGATCAAAAAAATCTTTAGTATAATAATTCCCGATATTATTCTAATTTCAGAAATTGGACAAGCACTTTTACAGCAGCAAGGAGTATATCAAGACGAAATAAAAGAGTACCAACAGAAGTTAGAACATCAGGTTTTTATTTTTATTATCATACTTTATTACATGGCCGAACCTAAACTAATATATTATAATTCTTAAATTAAATAATACAAAAATTCATTATCCATTGAGATCGCCTCTAGAAGAAATTATTGAATACAGCAAACACTCTAGAAAGTAAGAGTATAAATGATATAAATGAGGTGTGTTTTTACACTTTATTATGTTAATATATTTTATAAATATTAATTTTTATGTATTTTTGTAAATTTTTTCATGCAGTGTGCGCGATATCAACAGAGAATCGCGGAACTTGAAGATCAAGTACATGAATTTGAAAGTACACAGAAAACTTTGGCCAAAGAAAAAGATGATGCTACAAGACAGAAAAATATTTTAGAAAATGTAAAAAATTCTCGATACATCATACGGTTTTACACTATAATCACCTGACTAATGAAAATTTTGTTCAATAACAGAAAAGTGAGGCGCTTACAGAAGCTCTTGAATCCAGTGATAAGAGAGTTGTAGAATTGACCAATGAAATTGAACGACTTGATCATGAAGTTAAGCGTCTCATGGCAAATAATCTTATGGGTGAACGAATTGAAGAGAGAGAAGAAATATTAAGTAGACAATTGGAAGATTTAAAACAAGAGCTTCATGTGTCTAGGAAAGCGGAGTTTGCCGCAGAATCGAAAGTAAAAAAATTACAAGCAAAATATGGTTAACTGTCAGAAATTTCCCTTCATTTTTTATAAATAGTATTCAATTTGTTATAGGAGTTGACATAATTGTTTTTTGAATTTAGATCAGCTTTGTATTAACCTTGAAAAGCTAGAAAATGAACAACAAGGCTCTCGAAAATCAAGAGGAAAATTAGAAGCAGTAGCTATGCTTCGCGAATCAAAAGTTTGTAGACCATTTTTAATATATTTATTCTTAATGCTTATCACTCATTGTAAATTTGTTCTCTTTAGTCGTCACAACCAAATCTTAATAACGAGGCCAACTCTCATCTTATCGCTCTTATTAAAGAACTTTCTTCTGCAAATAATAAATTAAAATCCGAGATTAGTGAATATCGTGATCTTCTTTCAGAATCTCGTAATGAAGTGAGTAGTTTGCAAAATCGAATTGAAGACTTCGAGACAACAAGTGTAGCAGGCTATTTCCATCCTAGTAGCTACGCTATGTCAGCATTCCAACCGCATACCCATGATGAAATGGGTGAAAATCAACCTACTTCTCCTAGCATGTTTGTGGAAGAAACTGGAGAGTCTAATAATATACCTGGTACTGCCGCTCGATCAATTAATCCACTTATGTCACCCAATCCTTCGTTTGGTCCTGGTTCATATAACACGTTCAATAGCATGGGCGTTGATCCTTCTGTCCATTCTCCTGTAGGATCAGTTGTATCTTCGTCGATGTTATCCAGCTCGAATCCACTTCACCATCACTACCATTATCACCACTACCATTATCTTAACGAAAATAATGATATAAAAGGGAACGTATTTGGTGAGCTTGAAAAATACTATAAAAAGCCAAAAACCAAGGGACCTAGAATCATACGTGGCCCGAAAAAAAGCAGAAGAGGAGCAATCCCTGAATTCGATGAAAAAGCTGAAGATCAACTGAATGATGAAAATATCACCCCTACTGATGCTACAGAAAAGAAATACCCCCGATCCGAAGGCTATGAAAGTGTATCAGGTGCATCGGATCAATGTTATAACGAACTAAATGAAGAGGTCCGTACTTCTAAAGGGTTATCGATAATACTCTTCAATTTTAATCTTAATTTATTATTATTTTTATTACGATATTTTTTTTGCATCTTAAAATTGATAATCATTTAGGGAGATGATATAGCCAATGAGTCTGGAAGTTCTACCATTAAAAAAGGTGACATAACTAAATTAAAAACTTCTCATGATTCTTCAGTGGACAATATTGATTCACAGAAAAGACCAAGTCTTTCGTTATTATCTGCTGGTCTCAAGAGGTCTGCCGCAGGAGAATCTAATCCAATCAATCAAGAACAAGAACAAGGAGGCGAAAAATCTCCCACAAAGAAAACTTTTGATAGAGATACAACTCAGCGCAGAACTTCACTTTCTTCGAAACGAATAAATTTGGCCAAAGTATCACCAGCTACAACTTCAGCTCAACAACATAAGCCAACGCAGTCATCTCCATTGGCTGTTCATCGTCGTAACGCATCAAATGTTACGGCGATTGAGGTTCCTCAATCTTCTAGTTCACCTGCTGTGGCTCAAATAGCTAAAGAATTACAAATGAAACCTAGCATACCGGCCTTCAAAAATCCAAAATTTGCTACTCTTGGGCCAAAAGAACGTAAAACCATGATGGAGGCATGGCGTGCGGGTGTTGCTAAAGAACAGCAACAAAAGGATATTGCTGTAGAAAATGATGGATTAGGTAGTGCAAAAACCAGAAATCAATCAGCTGCTAATAATAATAGTGGTTCTTCTACTATAAAAGGAAAAAATTGGAAAGATATGCCTAATTCACCAGTCAAATTATTTGTTGAAGAAGTTTTGGTGGATGAGACTAATCTTTCTGCTGCAGAAGCAGCAGCCGTTGCTAATGAAGTCCAACATGGATTGACAGGCTCTGGTACAAAATCTGCACATTCTTGCCAGGCTTCTAATACAGCCCATCAAAATATACCATTACTTATCACTACTGATAGTGACGGATCTAAACAGGAGCCTCAGTTTTCTGAATCTTTTCAAAATCAAAATCCTTATCAATTGCTATTTAACCTTGCCAGTTATATCATGGATCGTATGAAGGGTACAGATTTAATGGCTCTTAATCGTAGATTAAAGAGAACATTTGATATTTTGGAGTTGACTGATTTAAGTAATAATTTGATTGAAAATATTCTGAATGATGTTGAAGGTTTCAGAGAACGGTTCAGATGGGTAGAGGAACTCTGTAACAATGATGAAATGAAAACAAATTCGAAAATGGCTTTTAATGATTTGAATGATTCCGAGAATGGTAAAAGTCAAAAAGAGCTCTTTATGTTTTCACCTGAATATTTCTTGCCATTGGTGCATCTTTTGCAAGACCTTTTAACTGAGATAGGCAAATTACGTATGATAATTAATGATGTTCAAGTATCTTACGTGCAAAAGGTAGAGGAGAGTCGTCGAAAAGCAGAAGAAGAATTTGGCAAAAGTGTTTTAGGTGGAAAAGATGACGAACGGTTCAAGAGAAGAGGAAGAGCACAAAGTCAAAGTAGTGATGGCGGGTTTGGGGCATATCTTAGTCGAGTCTTTGGGGGAGTAAAGGAAGTTCAATCCATAACACCCGCACGTCATCATAGCCGACGATTATCAGTAGACTTTTTGCACGATCGTGATGTCTCTGTTGGTAGTATTGATACTTTTGCTGAAGACAATTATTATATAGATCGTAATTTGGAGGCATATATAAGAACACCAAGTACACAAAGAGTTTATAAGAGAAGAGAGAGTAATGATTCATCAGTTGGATCCTTTTTAAGGCATGGGGTGATTTCTTTATTTGGCGGAGTCGGTAACAGCACTTCTGGTAAAAAGAGTCAGAAGATTGATAGAACCGATAATTCCGTAAACACAAAGAATGGAAAACCGAAAAATGGAGATACATTAGCTAGTGGTGTACATCAGCGGCGAATTGCGAACGTTGACACTGGTGACATTCCATCTAAAAGTCGACGAATTCGTAATCTAGAAAGAAGTTTGTCGGTTGATGTATCTTCGATACCTATAATATCTCCGTCTTCAACAACTATTCAATATTTTGGTTCCGAGGCTGCGCATGCGTCTCAACCACAGCATGCAACAATGCCGCCACCAATAGCAACAACAACGCCGAGACAATTAAGGATATCCACTGATAATGGTAATCTAGAAAGTCGTTTGCGACAACATTTAGCAACAACACCACAAGCAAATAGTAATCCATTAGGTGATCAGAATATTGATGGTGATTATAACGGATCATTATGGGATAAATTCTTCCGCCCTAAATAAGGATTTATCAAATTTATTGTATATAGAATCATTTTTACTTTTTTTTAAGAACTTTTCATTTTAAAAATTACCATAATATATATATGCATGATTTATTTCATATAAAATAAGGAGGGTTCTATATAGAATTTTTTTTTCAGTTTGAATAGTTTACATTCAAAGAATTAATGCTGTGCACTATAAAACTAACGAATGGTTTTGGCTATTTAAAACGTAAATGAAACAGCAATATGGGAAACTTTAATTTTTTCAAGCCCATATTCTGAAAATTTAGAGGATCTTTTAAATAGATATTTGTTTATTAACTTATAGGGAGTGTAATTAAAGTCGTTGTAATTTTGAATTTGTAAATCCAATAAAATACATGCAGGACATTTGACTTATAAACTAAAAGTTGATTATTGACTAATCAAATGAATTAATAATCCATTTACAGTCGGCCCTCGTTAATATCAACCTAAAGATCCAATATCTTGGTTTTCATAATACGAGACCTCTAAATGGACCCAGCCAGACTGTATTTTTTAAAGGTTTATATATATAAGTTTTATAAATTTTATATGCCCATTCGATTATTAAAACATAAATTTTTAAAAAGTTTTCAAAAACCAATTAATTTTGCATGGCTTAAATATAAAAGTTCTAAAATTAAGTCACAATATATAAATATTTATTAAACCAAATTTTTTTAACAGAAAAGTAGACTTAAGTAAATTGCCTAAGTACAAAAATGTGAAATTTCATAAGCCAAAATTTTTATACGTAATAAAAAGGATGAATTTCCCACCACTTCTGATTGGTTCTACTAATTATTCACATATCGGAGTATCTTGTGTTATTAATCAATTTTATAGTTCTCCGATAGTAAAGTAATTTCGGACAATGTCGACTACGCTACCTTTCATCTACCAATCAAATTATAAGATCAGGTGTAACATAAAATTTTCAAAGTTTTTAAAGTTTTTCAAAAATCGTCGGTAGCTTAAAATTTTAGTTACAAAACCACCTTTTGTGTTCTAACAAAAAAAATTCCTTGCAAAATTTTAGTATAATATTTGTTCTATTAGACCTTTATACTGTTTCAACGACATTTTCATTATTTGATCGAAAAGTGTGATTTTTGGAAATTAGTAAACCCGACACCGTTTAGACCATTATAGAATTGTGTTTATTGGCTAAAATTTAAGACCGCAATGAAAAAATTGCCGTAAGAATGACCTCAATTAATTATCGGAATTAAATTTTCATCCGGACAATTGTGAACCGATTTGCCAGGGCGACCAAGAAAATTTCGGGTCACGTGATTATAGACAAAATAATTTCGAATTTCTTAAGGGTAGGGGGTACGTAGATCATTTTTTATATAGTTTTATGTTTTTTTAGAATTTTCATATAAAATCAACATATGCTACTAATAAAACTTTTTTAAATTACAACTAATTCTTATTAAAATTTTACAAAATATAAATAAAATAATTTATCTATTATAGTAAAATTTTGAACTATTATTATATTTAAAAAATATATACTTGTATATATCACAAAAATTTTCTGAATCAGCTCAAAATTTTCTGAGCTAACACAAAATTGCTAAATTTGCTAAATTTGATTAGTTAATTTACATAACCCTATAAGTTAATTTAATTAATAATTTTTATACCTAATCTTTAAAAAATTATATCTTACTGAATTTTTAATCAAATTTAATGATTTTACTATCATTAGAATCAGAAAGACCTGTTCTACAAATTTTTCTTATAAATTAATATTAGTTTACTCAGTATAATCTTTTATAAAATTAAATATAAAAAAAATTTACAATTAAGTTTATATATAATTTTAATATAGTACCTCCTACCCTTAAATTTATTAAGGTTGAAGTTAGTATTAGATTTAGGATTTGGAAATTGAAAACATATAGTAAAATTAAGTATATAAGGAAATTTTTTATTATAACATATAGAGTGGTTTTCGATTTACAATTGGCTAAATTTGTTGCTGATCATCATATGACCTAAAAACTCTTGTTGCTTTGGTGGATTTAAAAATCTGGTACTGGCATTCAATTTTTTTAGTAAGAAATTTGTACTAGTTAAAATTTAGATGTTTTCAAGCTTGTAGAATTCTGATCTATTATCCATTTATCAGATATTCAGGAGCTGAATTTATTCAGATATCTGTTTTACTATTGATATTCAAATAATTATCTGAATATTTGCTAGATTATCTGGATATCAATAGTAAATGGATATCTAGATAAATTCAGATACGGATAAATGGATGGAGAATTTATCCGGATTGGATTGGAACTCTACTGTATTGTCGAAATTATGAATATTGCTAGACTTAAATAATTAAATTTAGCATTAAGAATACATTTCTAATCGATCGTTTATATTACTTATTGCTATATACAGTATAATGAAGCTTTGGGACTGGGCAGGGTTGTCAATGGAGCCAATGGAGCTCAAAACACTAGTATTCATTGGTTCTATTTAGAGCTTCATTGGCTCCATTAGGCTTCATTGAGCTCCATTGTCAATCCTGAGACTGGGGTATTTGGTTTGATATATTAAGGTTTTGATCTATTAAGGTATCTTGTTATAATGAACATATATAGCTATATATTATATATGTATATATACACTGACAATTATAAATAATTCAACAAGAAGATAGTGATTCTAGTATAGTGGTTAGGTTGTCATCCTCCAAGTGGCAGGTCTAAGGTTCAAATCCTACCTATGACAAAATTTGGAAATTAACCTGTATTATGGCAAACAATCTCTTGATAATTGGTTGGATTTATGTATCTATAACCTTAAATTGCATCATCTCAAATAGGAGTTTTGGGTATTTATATCAAGTGTAATGTTATATATATATAGAGAAATATTAATAACTAATATCACATGAGACTTCAATACAAACTCATGATAAGATTATCAGATACAATAAACTAAGAAACTGAAGAGTCAGAAATCCACTTGGAAATTCCCGAGTAAAGAAGTAACATGAATTTTTGATAGTACAATCAGACTGATGAAAACCCATAAAATATTCTTAAAAGAATAGGCAAATAAACCAGATGTCAAGATGTGTAGAAGAACACATGATCAACTAGGTCACTGGAATCATTAGAGAAAAAAAATACATAAGTATACCATACCAGGTTATCTGAATTGAAAGTCAGGGAAATCTTGTTGATCCTGAGTAATGGTTAATAAAAGATGATAGAGAAGATGTCATGATAATAGATATTGGGGTTTTAATAAATTTTACAAGAATAGAAATAATGTAATATAATGATAAAACAGATAACTCCTGTGACTGCAAGTATTAGTTAATTATAACATGTTGCATAAAACTAGATCAGCTGTGTGTGGGACATGGAAGGTTCTAGTAAGTTTCCTGTCAAGAATAAACTAATTCTAAGGATACTTGAAGGCATCAGGTACTTTGAATGGGTGTAGCCTTAAAGATGTCTCTGTGAGACATGGTAGACTACATATGCAGAAGGTTTAAATAAGCAAGATCCATAGTTGACTTGCAGGTATGACACCTAGTGTAGAACCTGTATAGTAATGTATAAGTGGACTACTTAAATTAAGCACCAAAAAGTGCATGTGTGACTAGTTGTAATCTCCAATATAAGGGAGCCCCTGGAGGCACCCATGTCCAAATACATGAATAAAAACATCAACTCCCATAGACAGGGACTTTAACTCAAAAAAAAAAAAATTTAAATAATTCAACAAGTGATAATTTTTAGAAACTACAATTGATGAAATTTATTCTGATATAAAAAAATTTTTTTTTAAAATTTTTTCTAAAAATTTTTATTATGAAGTGAAAATTTCAATAGTTACTGTTTTATAATAAAAATTATCACGTGTTGCTTTATTTATGATTACCATTGTATCGAACCAAACACTCTGGAGCGAGTTTATACTATATTATTTTTGTTACACGAAAAATTCACTGCATTTTGTATTCATTATGTCAAGCTAACCTTATTACAAAATTTTCTTCGTTATATAGTATATCAAGGTTTTATATTTAAAATTCGCTATGTTGAGGTATTTTGTAATAAAAAATTTTAACTGAAAAAAATCTTCGTTATAATGACAGATTCGGTTTATTGAGGTTATACTGTATAATGAAATTTCGTCGATGGCCTCATATAAGATCTTTTGACAAAAAATTCTTTTCATCAATTCAAAATATCAGCATAATTTATAAAACCTTGGCTTTAAGGTCGCTGAATATACCAAACAAATTTCATCCAATTATCCTTTTTTTTAAAAAATTAAAAGTCTGTTTCATATTTTTTATTTTATATTTGTCCTAATTCATTCAATTTTTCTTATACATAATAAATAAATACCATAAAAAATAAAATAATTGTTTTTTAATTGACATTTTGTTATCTACGTTCAAATGTTCAAAATTGAATTGGTGGAAGGAATAACTTTACTTGCACTACCATGAATATTTACATATGATTCTTCTAAGTTTTCAAGTATTATTTTAGAAACATTTAATTCTAACAGAAATTTCTCATCACCTTGCCACTTGCTTATATCTCGCAGAGTTCTTCGGCTTTAGGTCTATTTTTTGGCTCCTTGTCCCAACATTGTTTCATCAGTTCCACATAACATTGTGGTGCTCCTTTGTTAACAGATGGTCGTAAATTTTCACAACATATTTTTATTTGAAGCACAATTTCACTTAAGTGAAAATTATATGAAACAGACTTCCCACATAACTATCCTAAATGAATAAATATCAGACGATATAGTATACAGACCTCCATTCAAAACTTCAGAATCAATATAAGGTAAAACACCACAAATCTGACCATCATTTTGTTCCAAATACTGAATCGTAAATCCCAGTCTGCTATGTATGCATGATATAATTCATCTTGTAAAATATTACCAATATGCAAATCTCGATGAACAAGTTCTTGAGAATGAATTAGTTGAAGATCAGAAACA